CCGCTTGGCCGTGGAGGCGGCGGCGACCGCGGCGGCGTCGCGGCGCCGCTGCTCCTGCTCGGCGCTGAAGCGCTCCTGCGCGCTGGTCAGGTAGTAGCCTATCATCTCCTCGTGGAACTGGTGCCGGTGGCTGGTGAGCAGCAGGCCGGCGAAGATGAACTTGCGCTCGCCCTGCATGGCGGCGCGCAGGATGTTGAGGCTCAGCTTCACGTCCGTGCTGTACTTCCAGGCGTCGCCCCGCGGCCCGCCGCCCTTTTCGGCCGGCGACGCCCCGGCCGCCTTGTCCGTGGGCGACGGCGTGGTCTTCTCCGACGGCGACGTGCTCGCCGACGCGCCGGACTCCTCCTTGCTGCCCTTGCGCGACTTGGTCTTCTTCTCCTTGCCGCGCTCGGGTGCGTCGCCGTTCTTGCCGTTGGCGGAGTTAGCACGGCCCATCTTGCCGTGCACCAGGCCGCCCAGGCCGCCCATGTTTTTCTTTAGCTTGATGCCCAGCGTCTTGCTGAAGCTGCCCAGCTTGTTGGCCACAGAGTCCGCGCGGGTCTTGTCCTTCTCCTTGCGCTGCTTCTCCTTCTCCTTGTCCTTGCCGTTCTTGCCATTATTGCTGTTGGAATTGCTGCACACCGAGTCCCGGTCCGAGTCCAGGGAGTCGGCCAGGGACTGCACGTCTTCCCCCACTGAGGCTGTTGGGGATTCCGGTTGTGCCAGAGGGGCCTGTAGCAGGAGAGGGAGGTCAGGGAAGGAAGGAGGTTAGAGATGAGCCGTCCCCACGTGGGACCAACAAAGGCAGACCACCCCAGCTCCCAGGCTGCTATACTGGGGCCCTGGGGTCTCACTGCCCCAATCCAGGATGCCTTTTTGGTGAGTTCAGGTTGCTGGTAGCCTGGAACCACGAGGCGGGGATTTTGGGCAAGGTGCAGATACCCACCTGGCTCTGAGCTCCAGAGCCTCTGTACATTTTAGACTTGACCATGCCCGGACTCTGCCCTTCTAACCCTGGCTAGGCTGGTCTATGACCAGACACAGGTCCCAGCCGGCCTCTAGAGCGAGAGGCCTGGTAAGGATCACACTTCACCTGCATCTCTCCTACAAATGTGTCTCACCTATTCGTTCCAGGCAGGGGATAGGCATCTTGCCCTCACGTTGCAACAAAAATGCTCTTAGTTCTGGGGATGACCATTTTACTCTAGGGGTTCCTTTCTCAGATTGGCAATGTGGAGTGTTAAACTGAGGATTCTGAAATAGGACCTGGGCTTAGCAGGAAAGATGTTACCATTCCCAGAAAAAGGGGACCTAGGGTGTGAGGAGGGAGCATCTCTGTGAACACCTTGGACAAGGCCCACCATCAGCCAGTAAGGAGGGCAAGGCCAGTGTGGACACCTGGTCAGGACCATGGGGTAGGTGGAGAGCATGAGAAGGGCGATGAGTGGAACCTGCTGCTGCCTTGTGGAGGTTCCTTCTTGAGGGAGAATTCAGACAGCATCATTGGGTGAACACCAGGGACCTCATACTAGAAGCTGAGTGGCAGGAACTGGTGCTCACCCCTAAATGGGCTTTTCCTGGCCTCTAGGGGAAGAGCCTGGGAGAAGGCCCCATTGTTCTGTCATTTTATTTTTGTCCCCTCCCTCCCCAGGCAGGTCCAGGAGGGGGGTCCAAGAGACCTCTTGCAGCCAAGTCCCCAGAAGCAAGCAGGAGCCATCCCTCACCACCTACCAGCCTGAAATTCCTTCCTTCCTCTTCCCACCCTGTCCTGGGTCTGGAAGGAGGTAGAGGTCTCAAAATGGTTTGTCAGTGACACAGAGGGGCAGAAGCTCAGGGGTTTGGCCCAGGAAAGGGGGGTGTGGTTGGTGCTGGCAGTGCCCATTGGTGGGAGCCCAGTGAGTAAGGAGCCCTGGCTGAAATGTCCTTGGGCTGGAAGGGTCGTTGCCAGGCCCTGAATGTGACATGGGGGCCACCATGGCTTGGCAAGGAGCCTGCTCATTGTGGTGCTGAGCTGTGTCCCAGCCCAAGAGCCTCCTGATTCTAGATCTAGAGCTGCTGCCTTCACACCATGTGTGTGTGCTAGGAAAGAACACCCCGGCAACACTGGCATCATCCAGGCAGTTGACAGGTCACTGTGGAGGTTAAGAGGCAGGACTCTGGAGCCAGGCTGCCACCAACTGTCCCTTGTGTCCTCAGTAAAATGGGATATCAGTACCTGCCTCCAGGAGCCCTATGAAGATTAAATACAGGTAAAGGCTGGTGTATGAAAACATCCTGAGCAGTGCCTGGCATAGCCCCGTGACTGACTCTGGGCCAGGCACCGCCCTACTGCCTTCCTCCGGTCACTCCTTTGATATTGCTTATGAGCCCCATGGCATGGCCAAATGGCCAAGTCTATTGGTGTCTGAGGGGGGCTTTTTTTTGTTTTTACAAATCCCTTTCACTGAGGGTTCACTATTGAGATAACAAAAACATCAATCACTTAAAGTGAATCCTTAGCATCCAGAAGCAGGGACAGAGCAGACTCTCCCTGGGGGGAAGGGGGCGCGTGGGGGCGGGCAGCCCCTCTTCTCACTGCCCTCCCAGAGGACGGAGAAGGAGGAGAGAAGGAGGGGGCGCTGAGGTATTGCGCTCCCGGTTCCCTGACTTTTCCAAGGACCCACACACAGTTTATAATTAATTCGCTCCGCTGCAGCACATCGTGTTCCGATCTCGGCTGAGATAGTTTTGTGTTGTGACTTGCCTACGGTTTTCTGAGTGGGTGTGTTTATTCCCCTCCTTCTGGAGAAAATAAAGGGACCAAAAGAAAAAAAAAAAATCCCCAACAACCATCCCCTAGCCGGAGCGCGCGCCTACATAGAGCAGCAAGCACGCGTGCACACACGCGCCGGCTAAACCCGAGCCACTTCTGGCCAGAGCCAGGGCGGGTGGGCGGCCGGGCGTCCGGGTGGGCGCCGGGGAGCCCAGCCCCCGACCGCGCCGGCGGCGAGCGAGTGGCCAGGACCCAACCAGCCGGTCGGGGCCGGGCGCACGCCAGGCTCACCCGGGTCTCCGAGGGGATCCGGATCCACGTCACATTCATGTAGCTGTGCAGAAGGTTCAGCTTGGCTTCGAGCGACAGGATCAGGCTGGTGAGAGAAGAACACCGAGTGAAACGCGCCGCAGCGGGCTCGCGCTCGCCCGCACGCACCCCGCCCGCAGGCCCGCCAGCTGTCCCAGGAGGAGGAAAACCGGGCGACCGCCGCCCTTTAGGGCGTTGGGGGAGGGACGCGGGGGAGGGGCTCACTGGGCCAGCCGGGCGTTATCGTTGTCGTCCTTCCCCCACTCCCAGTCCTTCCCGGGGTCCACTGCAAAGTGCAGAGGCAGCAGCTTGTGCTCCGAATCCGTCAGGGGGATCACGGCTGGAACAGAAGAGAGAGACGCGGTGCCAGGTGGCCCACGGACGGGCCGGGAGGCTCCAGGCCCCAGCAGCCCCCAGGGAGGCCAGGAAAGGGAGTCCCAAGCCCAGGGGTCTCCTTAATTAAGGAAACCGAACGGAGACGAACACAGACCATCTGTGCCAGCAGGAGCGTTAAGACCACAGGTGTCAAAACCACTGCTGATAGTTTAGAATACTTGGTATTTATTGTGGACATGGAAGAGCAGCTGGAGACATCACCGGCACTCTGCTAACGACTTGGGGCTGTCAGAAGGCAGGTACCGCGGTTGGGCAGCAGACAAAAAAGGCCGTGGCTGTTTCTGTAATTTCGGAGGAAGGACCCAAGCCGGGCTCTTGGTCACCTCACGGTGTACAAATTAGGCAAGTAAGGGCTGCCTGCCCATCTGCTCATTTGTGAGCTCATTCAATAATTCTGCATCAGTTCGGGGAGGGGGGGTGGGTGGGACCTCCCACAGGGAGCTCACCGGTAGCAACAACAAAATCTCATAATCTCTGGTGGTGTTAAGTACCCTGCAAAGTAAACAGCAGACTCGAGGGGAGCTAGGGCAAGCCCTTCTAGGGCGGGTCGGAGCGGCTTCCGAGGAAGTTACGTGTAGGCGGGAACTGCAGCGAGGAGAGACCTCACCCAGGGACCCATTCACCACAAACACTCCTGAGGGAAACGCCCACCTGGGGGAAGTCTTGGCGCATCTCAGAAAGGCTGGGGCGGAGTGGGGTGTTCACAGGGTTTGCCTGGATCTGCTAGAAGCTTCCGAGCTGCTGTGGGACCCAGTGCCCAGTGAGAACAGAACAGCTTGAACAGCTTGCTCCTCCCCTGGGTTTACCCTACCTCCGCCTCCTCACTCTGTCCCCCCCCCGCCCCCCCCTTGGTGGCCATGAGCCTGGTGTCATTTCCCATAATTCATGGCAAGGGTGTCACGGCAAGAACAAAAAGGCAAATAAGTAAATAAAATCTGTGACTGAATACCATTAAAAGTGGACTTTCTAATAAAAAAATTGCAAACGCCGACTCACTGCTGCCCTCCAGTGTTGCTAAGGAGAAAATACGAGCACAAATAATCCTCTACTACGATATAAAGGAAACACTACTTTGCTGGGGCGGGGGGGCAGTGTTTCTGTTTAAAGTGGCTGGGGACTGGCAGTACTGTGCTCTGGTTTGGTTGGTCAAGGGCAACTGGGTTCTGCCTTGACATGGCCATGACACACAGGCTGCCCCTCCCAGGGCTGACTGCAGGGTAGTCACACTCAGGGAGGAGGGCTGCAGGGCTGATTCAGGACCTGCCTCCCTTGGGCCTGCCCAGAAGCCTGTCCGACAGTTCCACAGCTCAACACAAAGGCAGAGAGAGAGTTGGCCTGGCTTCCCATCCACTGGGAAGGGGTGGGGATGGCAGTGGATCCTTCTGTAGACACTTGCTAGGGCAGCACAGCTCCCTGGGGTGCTTGATAAAGCACTGATTTCCAGGCCCCCATCCAGATGGCCAAACCAGAGTGTCCAGGAAAAGGAGCCAAGGACTATATTTTAATTAAGCATCCTCTGTGGTTTTTAAAATCATGCGAATTTGGAAAACATTATCCTAGAGCAGTAATCTGTTTGAAGTAATCACTGTGGGTACAACTTGGGCAATTTGGGAATGGCTGTCCACTCCCTTCCCAGGGGAGGAGTGCTACTGGGAGGTGTCTGCCCAGCCCCCAGCACTTAACAGGTGCCTGGCTGCATGGATGGCATGAGAGCAGAAGCACCGTGGGAGGTGCTGGGCAGTGTGGTTAGGTGTGGGCGGCCTTCTCCCCACACCCCTCCCCATCCTCCTGTATGCTGAAAAGATGGCAGGGGTGACCTTCTGACTTCCCCACTTGGAGAAGGTCTGCTTGCCAATCAGGAACACCTGTTCTAGACTTTATTTGCATGAGAACCAAACTTTTCTCACTACGATTTTGGTTTGTTTGTTCCAGGTAAACCAACTAAAGTAGTACAGATCTACATGCCCCTCAGCCTCAACTCCCTACCACGGGGCTCCTGGGAATTTTTATCCTCAATGGTTGGATTGGAACTGACTCCCTGGGCTGTCCCCTGCTGAGCAGAAGGTTGGACTCAACTGAAGTTGCTAGAGCCTGACCACCTAGCAGGGTCTTGGCAGCCTCTCAGCACGAATGTTAGTGGGGTAGGGGTCAGGTACTCAGAGAGGTTCTAGGGACATTGCAACACAAAAGGCATCTTCTCTGCAGAGCGTACAGCTAGGGCATGTGGGCGAGGGCCAGGGCTGGAGGGACCGAGAGCCCAATCCGTAGCTGCACAGTCCAGGAGGGCCTTGAGAACAGGCCCTACCTGCAAGCATTAGCTGCTTTGGATGCCTCTGCTTCCCACTTTACACATTGACTTTTCCCAATTGGAAACCTGGCCTCACCCTGTGAGATATGTAGTGATGTGATGGCTTGCCCTCTGGTGGCAGTGTCAGGAACAGCAAATGCTTTTCAAAATAAGTCAGCAAATTCTTTCTTTCCTTGAAAAGGATCTCCTATCTTTTAACCTGAAAACATACAGACACCATCTCAAACCAGCCTGGACATATTTTCAGTACTTATTTTCCAAAAATGAATGGACACTTCTGGTTTCTGTTTCCGGGAGAGTGTGGTGCTATCATTACAACAATAACAACAAGCTAGACAAACTGCAGATACACAACTTTCCTTTAACCCATTAGAGAGCAGAAGTCCCAGGGGAACCAGCTAACTCCAAATCTAAGGACAGCTGGGTGCATAAAGGAGAAATGGACATGACTTTCACTGGGGCAGATTCAGTGGGACTGCAGTAAAAAGAATTCAGCTAAAAATTGTTGATAAATTGGTAAAGGAACAATGTAGCCTAGTGAAAGAATACTTAGAACCCTGGGGGCTACAGATATAAGGGAAATTCAAATGTACTTGTAGACCCCTTTTCATGGGACTCAACCTGGTGCTCATAAAAAGATTGGCAAGAATTCAGAGAAAGTGTCCTTCATAGATCTTTCTATCTCCTATCTATACTAAAGAACAAAAGCTTAAGTTGGGAGGGCAGGGCAACAAACACTGTTGGCCTTAGAGCACTGGGGTCTTTCCCCAGTAAAGCTTGAGGTGGAAGGAGGAAATAAGAAAAAAAAAACAAACCCTCTTTTTCCCTGGGTGAGGGGGGAGGGGCAGGAACACACGCTGAGCCCAGAACTACAGCTGGGGGAGGTCATTCCCTTTTCAAGATCCAGGGACACAATACCTGCCTAAGACGGAAGCTTAATTAGATTAACAAAAACATCCCTCTTCCTGCTCCCATTTTCACACCCAGGCTAACAAGCTGCAAATAATAGCAGAAGAGGGACAAGAGTTTGAAGGAAGGGTGCAGCAAACAGCGAGAAAAACCTTCTAGCAAAATACAACATATCACTAGTGAAATCTGAAGGCTGAGTGCACTAAGGGTAACCAAAGCAGCAATGAAACCAAAACCAACCTCAGGTCCTGACTAGACTGATGTAAACCCCACACTAAAGACCTAGCAAAAGGTAAGGCACACTTAGTTCCAAGAATCAAAATGATGTACCTTAGTCTTTACTGTCCTATTCAAGATGTCTGGCTTTCAAGAGAAAACTGCTAGCATAAGAAAAGACAAGAACCCCCTCTTCCCCAATATGTTGACAAGAGACAAAGCATTTGACAGAACAAGACTCAGATATGATACAGGTATTGAAACTCTCAGACATGGAATTCAGAATAATTGATTAATAAGTTGAATACTCTAATAGAAAAGGGGATACCATGCAAGACTTGATGATTAATTTCTCTCCAGCAGAGAGAAGAAATTTACAAGAAAGAATCAAATAGAAATGTTAGAAATGAAAAAACACAGTAAGAGAGATGAAGAATGACTTCAAGGGGCTGATCAGTACACTTTACACAACTGAGAAAAGAGTCTGTGAACATCAAGATGTGTCAATAGAAGTTACCCAAATTGAAACACAGAAAGAAAAAAAAGAGTTGGGCAGGGGGGATGCACAACAGAATACCCTAGAGGTGTGGGGCAATACCAGACAGCCTAAGATCTGTGTAAGTATAATCCCAGAGAGAACCCAAGATAAGGGATATTTAAAGAAATAATGGCTGACAAACATTTCCACTGTGAATGACAAATACCACCATAGAGCCAAGAAGCTAAGGAAAAACCAAGCAGGAAAACAATACCACCACCAACACCACCAAAAATATCCCTACACTTAGAATATTTAAGCTGTTTAAAACCAAAGACAAAATCATAAAGGCAGCAAGAGGAAAAAGACACATTACATACAGAGAAACAAAGATAAGAAACACAGCAGACTTTTCATGATAAAACAGGTAAGCCAGAAGACAATAGAGTGACATCTTTAAAGCACTGAAATAAAAAACTGCTAATCCATAATTCTATACCCAGAAAAAATATCTCTGAAACATGAAGGAGACATACTTTCTCAAACAAAAATAAAAAAATTAATTGCCTACAGAACTGCACTAAAAAAAAAATGTATATATATTGCACTAGGAAATATTAAAAGAAATTGGAAATTGTTTAAGGGGAAGGAATATGCTATCAGTAGAAACCTGGATTTTACATAACAAAATGAAAAGTAAAAGAAGTGGAATAAATGAATATGAAAATTAAACTCATTTTTCTTCCTTTCAATTGTTCTAAGAGACTAAAAGGTAAAGAGAGATGCAGTGTATTATGTGTTTACAGCATATGTAAAAGTAAAATGCTTGACGGTAATGGCACAAAGGATGGGAGGGGGGGATTGGGAATAAACTGTCATAAGATCCTTATACAATACATGAAGTAGAATATGACTGGAAAATAGAATCTAATTAATTAAAGATGTTTATTGTAAACTCTAGGGAAATCACTAATAATGAAAAATAGAGGCATAGTAAGTCAATAGTGGAGATAAAAAGGAGCCATTAAGAAAC